CACAGATTATAATAAAATGCTATTGTGATTTCCATTTTCAAACAAATATAAGAATAAATTTTCAGAAATTTCTCTGGTTTTACAGATATACTCAAATACAATGAAGAATATATAAGTGCTACAGTAAATTTGTCATTTTTATGAAGTTCAGCAGCAGTATTTTAGATCGAGAAACAGTCCTGTAGAAAGTGCCCCTTAAAATTGAAATCATATTAAATTCCTAACCAAAATGCTTCTATATTTCATAATACTGTGATCAAATACATTCTCCAGAAGTAATGATCCATCAATCTGCTAATTCAACAGGCCAGGATTTCCATGTAAATAAAATAAAATCTATCAATGACTTCAAATATGAGCTCTGGGTCATTTTTGTCTTCTTGAAATAAGCTTTGAAACTGTTGCTTTGAATTTTCAATATTGTTTTTGTCTCTTCTTGAGACATTAAAAATCCAGGCTGAGTGCAGTGGCTTACACCTGTAATCCCAGCATTTTGGGAGGGTGAAGTGGGCAGATCGTGAGGTCAGGAGTTCAAGACCTCCCTGGCCAACATAGTGAAACCCTGTCTCTACTAAAAATATAAAAATTAGCCAGGTGTGGTGCCATGCACCTGTAGCCCCAGCTACTCAGGAGGCTGAGGAGAGAAAATCACTTGAACCCGGGAGGCAGAGATTGCAGTGAGCAGAGACCAAGCCATTGCATTCCAGCCTGGGTAAGAGTGAAACTCCATCTCAAAAACAAAAAAAAAATTCCAAAGCAACAGTTTCAAGGCGTGTTTTTTTTCGACTCACTAGTGAGTTCCTCCAATAGGAATGCTACACAAAGCCACTTTTTTTTGCAGGGTGGGGACAGGGTCTCACTCTGGCACCCAGGCTGGAGGGCAGTGGTGCAATCTCGGCTCACTGCTACCTCCATCTCTCAAGTTCAAGCAATTCTCAAGTAGCTGCGGTTGTAGGCACCTGGCACCATGCCTGGCTAATTTTTGTATTTTTTTTTTTTAAGAGACAGGGTTTCACCATCTTGGCCAGGCTGGTTTTGAACTCCTGGCCTCTGGTAATCCACCCACCTTGGCCTCCCAAAGTGCTAGGATTACAGTTGTGAGCCACTGCACCCGGCCTTACAAAGCTAATTAAATTCTTATTTAAACCTGCCTAGGGAGCAGGGAACATAGTTCAAAATAAATTTCTCTTCTGGACCATGCATTCACTTGGCTACCAGGTAGCTTACAGTTACCATATTCCTCTTGGCCTCTACAAACACACACTCTCCAGCATTCTTCTGAAGCATGGTTACTCATGGTTCTACAGCCCAGTGCCAGTCTGCAACTGTGTTTTTTTGTTTTTTTGTTTTTGTTTTTTTTTTTTGAGACAGAGTTTCACTCTTGTTACCCAGGCTGGAGTGCAATGGCACGATCTCGGCTCACTGCAACCTCCACCTCCTGGGTTCGGGCAATTCTCCTGCCTCAGCCTCCTGAGTAGCTGGGATTACAGGCACGCACCACCATGCCCAGCTAATTTTTTGTATTTTTAGTAGAGATGGGGTTTCGCCATGTTGACCAGGATGGTCTCAATCTCTCGACCTCGTGATCCACCCACCTCGGCCTCCCAAAGTGCTGGGATTACAGGCTTGAGCCACCGCACCTGGCCATAAGTCTGCAACTGTTAATGGCGTTTAATGAAATGAGTACGAGGTTTGAGACTAAGTGTATTATAGCAATTAAGAGTTCATTTTATATCTTACTCCTAATAAAAAAAAATTGGGGCTTACATTTTGTTTCTCAGACAGGATCTCACTATACTGTCCAGGCAGGAGTGCAGTAATTATTTACAGGTGTAATCCTCAATTACTGACAGACTTGAACTCCTGGACACAAGTGATCCTCCCAAATAGCCAGGACTACAAAGCTAGAGGAGACAGTGCACCCAGCAGGGGCCTGTTTTTTTGTTTTTGGTTTTTTTTGTTTTGTTTGAGATAGGGTCTTACTCTGTCACCCAGGCTAGAGTCCAGTGGCACAATCACAGCTCCACCTCCTGGGCTCAGGTGACTCTCCTGCCTCAGCCTCCAGAGCAGCTGGGACCACCAGTGCACTAACACATCCAGCCTACTTTTTCTGTAGAGACAGGGTGTCACTGTGTTGCCCAGGCTGTTCTTGAAATCCTAGATCCAAGGGATCCTCCCTCAGCCTCCCAAAGTGCTGGGAGTACAAGCATGAGCCATTGCGCCCAACCTGGTTATTCTTTCAATCCACCAAATTTCTCTCAACCCTTCCTGTAAGCCAAGTACTGACCCGACACTGGGCGTACATGCTGCCAGGCTCATGGAACCTCCACTCTCGCAAGGATGCTTAGTCCCATGCCATCCCCTCTCACATCTGACTAAAAAACTTCATCAAAGCCAGGTGTGGTGGCTCATACCTATAATCCCAGTACTTTGGGAGGCAGAGGCAGGAGGATTGCTCAAGTCCAGGAGTTCAAGACCAGCCTGGGCAACATAGGGAAACAGAAGAAACCCAAAATAATCACTAGGCCAGGCATGGTGGCTCATGCCTATAATCCCAGCACTTTGGGAGGTGGAGGTGAAAAATCGTTTAAACCCAAAAGTTTAAGACCAGGCTGAGCAACACAGTGGGACCCCCATCTCTACAAAAAAATTTAATTAGCTGGGCACAGTGCCACGAGCCTGTAGTCTCAGCTATTCTGAAAGCTGAGGAAGGAAGGTCACATGAACTAAGGAGGTTGAGGCGGCTGCAGTGGGCCATGATCACACCACTGTACTTCATCCTGGGCAACACACACACACACACATCACACACACACACAAACACACTTTACTCTAAAACGTAAAAGTAAAGCATTCTGGCCTGGCATAAGGTAACCCCAGCACTCAGGGAGGCCAAGGACGGCAGATCACTTGAGGTGAGGAGTTCAAGACCAGCCTGGCCAACGTGAAACCGGTCTCTACTAAAAATACAAAATTAGCCAGGTGTGGTGGTGCATGCCTGTAATCCCAGTTATTTGGAACCCAGGAGACAGAGGTTGCAGTGAGCTGAGGTCACACCACTGTACTTCCAGCCTGGGTGACAGAAAGAAACCCTGTCTCAAAAAAAAAAAAAAAAAGAAAAGGAAAGCATTCCTGTCGATATGCTCAGCCCTATTTTCCTCTACCCCTTCCTTTCTGCTCCAGACTCCATTTTTCAGTGACGGAATCAGGAACAAAGTACAATCTGTTAAGGGAGAAACAGAAAAAGCTTCATGAAGGAGGAAATGGGTGAAGGGTCCTTAGTGGGCTAGGAAAGAAGGAAAGGAGTCCAACAGGTAAGGCCTAGAGGACTGAACATTCTAGGAAAAAAGGTGGACATGAGTAAAAAGCCACAGGTGGGGGGAAAAAAAAAAGTAGGAACGTGTGTAAAGAAGAGCCCATAATGAATACTGATTTCTTTCCTGTGTTCTCTTCTCCATTTAAGTTGTAGCCTCTTAAAGTTCCACTCTGCCAAACTGTAGCCTCTTAAAGTTCCACTCTGCCAAACACATTCACTAAAATATCCTCCAGCAATAATAAATGAGCTTTTCTGAAGCTCTAAAATAATTTCAACCCATGTCATACTCATGTCTGTTGTTTTTTTTTTTTTTTTTTGAGACAGAGTTTCACTCTTCTTGGCCAGGCTGGAGTGCAGTGCTGCAATCTGGGCTCACTGTAACCTCCACCTTCCGGTTTCAAGTGATTCTCCTGCCTCAGTCTCCCGAGTAGCTAGGATTACAGGCGTCTGCCACCACGTCCAGTTAATTTCTGTATTTTTAGTAGAGATGGGGTTTCACCATGTTGGCCAGGCTGGTCTCGAACTCCTGACCTTGTGATCCACTGGCCTCAACCTCCCAAAGTGCTGGGATTACAGGCATGAGTCACTGCACCCAGCCACTCATGTCTGTTTCTATCCGACTGAGAAAGTATGTTATTCTGGCCGGGTGTGGTGGCTCACACCTGTTATTATCAGAACTTCGGAAGGCTGAGGTGGGCAGATGGCTTGAGCCCAGGAATTTGAGACCAGCCTGGGCAACACGGTGAAACGCCCTCTATTTTTTTTTTTTAATTAAAATTAAAAATGAGAGGCCAGGCACAGTGGCTCACGCCTGTAATCCCAGCACTTTGGAAGGCCAACGTAGATGGATCACCTGAGGTCAGGAGTTCGAGACCAGCCTGACAAACATGGTGAAACCCTGTCTCTCCTAAAAATACAAAATTAGCCGGGCGTGGTGGCACATGTCTGCAATCCCATCTACTCAGGAGGCTGAGGCAGCTAAATTGCTTGGACCTGGGAGGTGAAGGTTGCAGTGAGCCAAGATTGCACCACTGCACTCCACCCTGGGCAACAAGAGTGAAACTCTGTCTCAAAAAAAAAAAAAGAAAAAAGAAAGAAGAAATAAAGAATAATATTTACCCGAGTTTTTTTAATTTAACCTTATATTCTACATCCAAATAATCATCTTCACTATATGTGAGTACACACTAGGGGAAAGGAAAAGAAAAATGTAAGATAAACAATATTGAACTGTGTTCATCAACAGATATTTAGCTTCATACCTAAAACTTTCTGAAACATTTAGGGAAAAAAATTGAGACGGAAATCTATTGCTGTAATGAGGGGAAAAAAAAGAAAATATCAAAGTCCTGCTTTCTTTCTTTTCACATTCTGTCACCCAGGCTAGAGTGCAATAATATAATCACAGCCTTGACCTCCCCAGGCTCAGGAGATCCTCCCACCTTAGCCTCTCAAGTAGCTGGGAATACAGGCACAAAACACCTTGCCCAGCAAGTTTTTCAATTTTTATAGCAACAAGGTTTCACCATGTTGCCCAGGGTGCAGTCCTGCTTCCAAACTAAGCATACAACATAGCAAACAGGAGTTAACAATGTAAAAAAAAAAAACAAAAAACAGGGATCATTCTATAAAAGAAATTTTTTCATAAATATAGTGATTGCCGCTTTTCTGAGGATCCAGTAAGATGGCAGAGGTACAGCAGAAGCAGCAGATCTCCCACAAGTTCACCTACCGCGGCGTGGACCTGGACCAGCAGCTGGACATGTTCTACCAGCAGCTGATGCAGCTGTACAGTGTACGGCAGCTGCGGCAGCGCCTGCTGTGGAAGCAGCACGCGCTGCTGAAGCGCCTGCGCAAGGCCAAGAAGGAGGCACCGCCCATAGAGAAGCCGGAAGTGAAGACGCACCTGCGATACATGATCATCTTGCCCGAGATGGTGGGCAGCATGGTGGGCGTCTACAATGGCAAGACCTTCAACCAGGTAGAGATCAAGCCAGAGATGATCGGCCACTACCTGAGCGAGTTCTCCTTCGCTCAAAAGACCGTGAAGCACAGCCAGCTAGGCATCGGGGCCACCCACTCCTCCTGCTTCATCCCCAAGTAGTGGCTCTGCTAATAAAGGCACACACGTATCAAAAAAGAAAAAAAAAAAGAAGGCCGGGGACGGTGGCTCACGCCTGAAATTCCAGCACTTTGGGAGGCCGAGATGGGCAGATCACGAGGTCAAGAGATGGAGACCATCTTGGCCAACAAGGTGAAACCCCGTCTCTGCTAAAAATACAAAAATTAGCTGGGCGTGGTGGCACGTGCCTGTAGTCTCAGCTACTCAGGAGGCTGAGGCAGGAGAATTGCTTGAACCTGGGAGGCGGCAGTTGCAGTGAGTCGAGATCGCGCCACTGCACTCCAGCCTGGCGCCTGGCGACAAAGCGAGGCTGTGTCCAAAAAAAAAAAATAGTTATTGCCACCTTATGCTAGGAATTCTGTTTAAAAAACTCAGAGGAAAGGTAATGAAACAGGTTAATATCCCTTGTCCCTTGTTTTCCTGGCTTATCAGAACAGAGTAAGAATTTTCAGTTTAGAGGTGGGTTTGTTTTGGTTTTTTGTTTGTTTGGTTGGTTTTTTGAGACAGAGTTTCCCTCTTGTGGCCCAGGCTGGAGTGCAATAGTGCAGTCTCGGTTCACTGAAACCTCCGCATCCCAGGTTCAAGTGATTCTTCTGAGTAGCTGGGATTACAGGCATGCACCACCACATCGGGCTAATTTTGTAATTTTAGTAGAGATGGGGTTTCACCACGTTGGCCACGCTGGTCTGGAACTCCTGACCTCAGGTGATCCGCCCACCTTGGCCTCCCAACGCTGGGATTACAGGCGTGAGCCACTGAGCCCGGCCTTTTTTTTTTTTTTCTTTTTTTAAGAGACTGGGGGTTCCTATTATGTTGCACAGGCTAGTCTCAAAGCCCCATGCTCAAGCAATCCTCTTGCCTCAGCCTCTGGAACATTGGAGACTACCATGCCTGTCTTCAAGTATTTTTAAATCATTATTTGGATTTTCCCAGCATGTTAAGTTTCCCTACCTAGCCAATTTCACCTCTCATCTTCCCAGGGACTTTATCTAGAACACTTTTGTGGCCTCTCTTTCCATGGTTCCCTCTTTCTCATCCTTTAGGCCTCAACTTCAATGCCCTTTCCCACCCTACCTAAAGGAAATGACTTGTCATTCTCTATGTCAAAGCTCTTGCCTTCTTAGAAGTTAACACAATTCATTACTATTACCATTTTCTTTATGCCTGTCAACTTGTCTTTCCAGGTGTCTCCCTTATGAGAATGTAGACCATGTCCATCTTGTTCACAGTTCTCTCTCTGAGGCTAGCAAAGTGCCTGGTACATAACAGGTACTCAATATTTGCTTAATGAATTACCTAAAATAAGGTGTCTTCTTCACATCCATTCCAAAATAAAGACCCTATGCAAATATTTTAATAAGCGATTCAAACTACCATTTTGTGAAATTACAAAGAATCCCATCTCTCACAGCAGTCACCCCCCAGCCCCAGAGACTCATTATTATATGGATGACTCTGTGTTGGCAAGGGGTAGGGGCAGGGAGGAGGTGAGGATGGAGAAGGAGGATGTTTTGGAAGTGAATGGCAATGAAATGATAAAAGGAGTGTGAAATAATCCATGTTCACCTAAGATGTGTAACCCAATCATTTAGCTACTATGTGCCTCAAGACAATGCACGATTTAGCTACCTTAAGGTGTAAGGTTATGTGAGGCTCAAAAGGGGTGACAAATGTGAGTCCCAGATTAGGCTTCCAGAGCACCATGCTGTGACATTTCTAAACTTAACACAGCTGCAATTTTACTTTTACTTGTGGGCTGATGTCTGTCTCCACTAGACCTGTTTTTGATCACCCTTGCATTCCCAGTGTCTAAAAGTACCTGGCAGATAGAAGGTCCTCAAAATTATTTGCAAAATGAATGAATCGAAGCAGTTTATAAAGAGTAAAGCTATGTATGTACAAGCATTAACATCAGACATTTCAGAAATTCATTAATTCAACAAGTATTTAGTAAATACCTTTAACTATGTGCCAACCACTATTCTAAGGCACTCAGAATGCATTACTGGGCAAAACAGAAAAGATCACTAAAGCTAATATTCTAGGAAGACAGGCAATGAAAGTAAACATAGTTTAAGTATGAATATTTGGAGGTGATAAATGATATGGAAAAAAGAGCAAGGGATGAGGGGTAGGATAGCTACAACAGTCCTCCTAAGATGACTGCAGGGAGAAACAGCCAAGAGCCCACTGTGCTTTATGACAAATAAGCAAGGCAGAGCTCTCACCTGCTTTCAGCAAAAGTGGAAGTCAGAGAGGGGCAGTGACAGTCAAAGAATATAGGGTCTCATAGGTCAACATTTTAATTTGAATCTAATTAACTTTCTAATTAAACTGATATAGTAAATAGTTTGGGGTTGCCTCAACACTTATACCTTACCTCAATAACATAAAAGATCAGAATCACATGCCAACAGTTCCCATCCACAGGCTGATCTAAACTTGAGACCATTCTCTTCATCTGGTGGTCTCAAAGACTACAGGTACATAATTTTTTTTTTTAATGCAAAGGCAGTTAGCCTGTAATCTCAGTGCCTTGAGAGCCCAAGATGGGGGACTGCTTGAGGCCAGGAGTTCTAGATAAGCCTGGGCAGCAATAAGGAGACTCCATCTCTATAAACAATTTAAAAATTAGGCCAGGCAAGGTGGTTCATGTCTGTAATCCCAGCACTTTGGGAGGCCAAGGCGGGTGGATCACTTGAGGTCAGGAGTTCAAGACCAGCCTGGCCAACATGGTGAAACCCTGTCTTTACCAAAAATATAAAAATTAGCCAGACATGGTGTGGGACACCTGTAATCCCAGCTACTCAGGAGGCTGAGGCAGGAGAATCACTTGAACCCAAGAGATGGAGGTTGCAGTGACCAGGGATCATGCCATTATACTACAGCCTGGGCAACAAAGTGAAACTCCATAGCAAAAAAAAAAAAAAAAAAAATTAGCCTGGGTGACAGAGTGAGACTCTATCTTCCTGTCTCTGGAATAAAATAAAAATAAAAATAATGCAGAGTCCTCAGGATATTCCCAAAGCAAACCAAGGTCTCAAGGCTCTTTAAACTAAGAATGTCCTAGTAAGGCTTGGCTTCCCAGGACAAAACTGAACAAGTCACCAGATGGCATTTGAGGGGAAGGTATTAGCCAGATAGACCCAAAAATGTTAACACTATGAAGTCTCATAAGCCACATAACCCTCAGAGTAGTCTGGAGGAAAATAAAACATCGCTGTGGCTATGGCTTTTTTTTTATGTTGCCAAACAGCACTGACATGGATATAGTTTTAAAAAATAAGTATGTGGGCAGGGCGCGGTGACTCACACCAGTAATCCCAGCACTTTGGGAGGCCAAGGCAGGTGGACCACCTGAGGTCAGGAGTTCAAGACCAGCCTAGCCAACATGGTAAAATCCTATCTCTACTAAATATACAAAAATTAGCCAGGCATGGTTGTGCAAGCCTGTAATCTCAGCTACTTGGGAGGCTCAAACAGGAGAACCGCTTGAACCCAGAAGCAGAGGCTGCGGTAAGAACAGCGAGAGCGAAATTCCATCTCCAAAAAAAAAAAAAAAAAGCTACTTTATTATAACAAAACCATATTCTTTTTTTCTTTTGAGACAAGGTCTCACTCTGTTTCCCAGGCTGGAGTGCAGTGGTGCAATCACAGCTCACTGCAGCCCTGACCTCCTAGGCCCAAGCAATCTTTCTCAGCCTCCCAAGTAACTGGGACTATGGGCATGTGCCATCATGCCTGGCTATTTTTTTTTTCGGTGGAGATGGGCTTTCCCTATGTTACCCAGGCTAGTCTCAAACTCTGCACTCAAAAGATCCTTTCACCTTAGCCTCCCGAAGTTGGAATTACAGGCGTGAGCCACTGACACAATTTGGTCTAGTCCAGAATCTGACAAATTCCCTTCAATATTATGTTCCCTAGCTTCCTCTTTCTAAACCTAGAAGAGGAAAATTTTTTTTTTTTTTTTTTGAGGCGGAGTTTCGCTCTTGTTACCCAGGCTGGAGTGCAATGGCACGATCTCGGCTCACCGCAACCTCCACCTCCTGGGTTCACGCAATTCTCCTGCCTCAGCCTCCTGAGTAGCTAGGATTACAGGCAGGGGCCACCATGCCCAGCTAATTTTTTGTATTTTTAGTAGAGACAGGGTTTCACCATGTTGACCAGGATGGTCTTGATCTCTTGACCTTGTGATCCACCCGCCTCGGCCTCCCAAAGTGCTGGGATTACAGGCTTGAGCCTCCGCGCCCGGCCGGAAAATATTAATTCACTAAAAAGGGAGAAATACATATTATGACTCTATTTTTTTTTTTTTGACTCTATTATTTTTTTTCTGTCGCTTACTGCAACCTCCGCCTACCAGGTTCAAGCAATCCTCCTGCCTCAGCCTCCCAAGTAGCTGGGACTACAGGCGCCCACCACCACACCTGGCTAATTTTTGTATTTTTGGTAGAAATGGGGTTTCACCTATTGGCCAGGCTGGTCTCAAACTACTGCCCTCAAGTGATCTGCCTGCCTCAGCCTCCCAAAGTGCTGAGATTACAGGCGTGAGCCCCTGTGCCCAGCCCATTACGACTCTAAATATAAAAAGGGTCTGAGTTACAGACGTGAACTGCTCTTTCAGCAATTTGAAGAAATCTGCAGACTTTTAAATACTCAGTAACAAAAAAGCAAAAGAATATTAAGAATTCGGAATCCTGTATAACTCTCTAAAATCTCAACTTTTTTTTTTTTTTTTGGAGTCTTAATCTGTTGCCCAGGCTGGAGTGCAATGGCATGATCTCAGCTCACTGCAACCTTCATCTCCCAGGTTCAAGCGATTCTCCTGCCTATGCCTCCTGAGTACCTGAGATTACAGGCACATGCCACCATGCCTAACTAATTTTTTCGTACTTTTTTAGTAGAAAAGGTGTTTCACCGTGATGGCCAGGCTGGTCTTTAACTTCTGACCTCAAGTGATCCACCTGCTTCAGCCACCCAAA